GGGATGGGGGAAGGGCATAGGTCCCAATTCATCACTGCTCTGCCACTTTGCCCTTGTCGGTGTGGTTTTCTCTTCTTCACCAGGTGTAGATGGTCTGTTCTGCAACCTTCAGGTCATTTTCAGGCTTAGTACTATTTGCTGTAGTTACTTCAGTGGTGTGCATGTAGGGGAAGGTTTGTGCCATGCCTTCCTACTCTGCCCCCTTTTCCTGGTTCTCCACACTGTCTTTTGATTGGAGCATTTAGGCCATTTACATTTACAGTTATTGATCTATATGTACTTATTGCCATTTTGTTAAATATTTCCTGATTGTGTGTGCTGTTGTTCTCTGTTCCTTTCTTCCTTTCTTGCTCTCTTGTGTTTTATGACTTTCTTTAGTGTTATGGTTGGGTTCCCTTCCCTTTATTGTGCATCTGTTATGTGTTTGGTTTATGGTTACCATGAGATTCTTATATGACTTCCTATGAATATAACAATCATAATAAGCTGATGGTCACTTAAGTTTGTATGCGGTCTAACAGCACTACATTTCTTACTCTCCCTCCTCCACATTTTATGTATGTAACACCTTTTTATTAAGTAGTTTCCCCAATTTTGAGATGATTGTTTTGTCTAGTTTTGTCCTTTTGACGTCCATGCTAACTGATCTACTGTCTCTTTTATAAAGTTTTCTTTACCAGTAGAAATTTTTTCCTTTGTTAAATATCTTGTTTCTATTTAGAGTCTTTTCTTTTCCTCTTAAAGAGGTCCCTTTAACAATTCTTGTAAGGCTGGTTTAGTAGTGGTGAACTCTTTTAACAAGTTTATCTGTGAAGCTCTTTATCTCTCCTTCAATTCCAAATGATAACCTTGCTGGCAGAGTATTCCTGGTTGGAGGTTTTCTTCCATTCAGCACTTTGAATATATCATGTCATTCCCTTCTGACCTGTAAAACCAGCTGATAACCTTTTGGGGTTCCCTTATATGTAATTTGTTGCTTTTCTCCTGCCTCTTTTAAGATTCTCTCTGTGTCTTTGATCTTTGACATTTTAATGATGATGTGTCTTGGGGTGGACCTCCTTGAGCGCATTCATCTTGCGTGGAGCTCTCTGTGCTTTCTGGGCCTGCTAGACTGTTTTCTTCCCCAGGTTAGGGAAGTTTGCAGCTCTTATCTCTTCAAATAAATTTTCTCCTCTGTCTCTTCTAGGATTCTTAAATGTGGATGTTATGATGTCTGATGTCCAATGCTTTCTTACCCTATACTCATTTCTTTTCATTCTTTATTCCTTCTGCCATTCAGCCTGAGTGCTTTCCATTACTCTGTCTTCCAAGTCACTAATCCATTCTACTGCATCCTTTAGTCGGTGTTTCATTTCCTTCAGTGTATTTTTTTATTTTATCAGTGAATTCTTCATCTCTTGATTGGTTCTTTTTCTAGACTTTCTGTCTCCTTGTTGAGGTTTGCCTTGGGTTCTGCTATTGTTTTCTCCAGTCCAGTGAGTATCTTTATAACCATTGTATTAAATTCTTTATCTGGTAAATGGTTGACTCTGTTTCATTTTGTTTTTTGTTTTTTTCTGTTTTTTATTTTCTTGTTTGGTTACTTGAAGAATATTCCTCTGTCTCATCATTTTCTATGATTTTTGGCACTTGGTTCTATGAATTAATTGAAAGGGCTTGCTTTTCTGGTCTTAAAGGATTGACCTTGTAGGAGAGTGCCCTGTGTAGACTGCATAGGCCTCATGGTTTTGGCAAGCTGGGGGCTGTGAGATGAGCTTTCCCTGGTGCTGGAGCTCCCAGGGCATGGTCCTGGGGGTGCGGCTTTGGGACCCCATTGGGGGGGATCCTGGATTCTGCATTTGTTGAAGAAAGGGTGGTGTGCCAGTGGCAGATTGGCGGTGCAATTCTAGTAATCTGGTACCAGCTAAGTCCCCCTGTGCACGCATATGCCTGTGCACACTCTGGACTGCTAAAGTGATTTCTCACATCGGGGCCCATCAGGCCCCTCTGGCAGCATGGAATCACTCTGCACTTTACCCCCACAGCCACTGCCTGCTGTGGGCTACTCCCAGGAATTCCCACCTCAGCACCCAGGGTTCTGCTGGTGGCTGGGATCAGGCACTGTATGGGCACATATCACCCCACAGTCCCTGCACATTCTTTCATGCTGCAGGGAATTCTTACATTGGTGCCCACCAATCCCTCCAGCAGCCAGGATCAGACATCATTCACACACATTCCCCTGTGGCCCCCATGCAGTTGAGCTGCTCCAGGGAATTCCCACATAGGTGCCTGCCAGTCCCACTGGTGGCCAGGATCAGACACTTTGCTCTTATTCCCTGTGGACCCTGTGCACTCTGGGCTTCTCTGGAGAATTCCTACAATGGTGCCCACTGGGTCCAGCTGGTGGCCAAGTGTCAGCCCCACAAATGCATTCTCTTGTGGTGCTCTGGGGAAATGCCTTGGTGGGACCAGCCCACATATTTGTGCACCCTCCCTGTGGGTGTGTGGAAGAAGTGCAAACAGTGGTGCTGGCCAGCTCTCCTGATCCCAGATGGCCTCCAATGTTTTCCTTGTTAAGCAGTGGGTACTTAGCACTGAAACTTAGGTTCTTTCACTTGTGATCTAGTTCCTTTTCTCTGTGCCCTAGGGCAAGGATTCCACACCTGGCTCTCAGCTGGACCCCTTCCCCTTCCCTCTGCCAGTTGCTGTGCTGGGATTGCGGTTCCTGTGGTTCCTGGGTTTCTGTCTCTCCTCCTGCCTTGGGTTTTTTGTGTGTGTGTGATCTTTCTGTCCCTCCTTGTATAGAAGGTGGTGGTCACTTCAGTCTCCACTCTTCTTCAGGGTGAAAGACTCTGTGTGTAAGTGTAGATCTGGTGGAGAAGGTGACTTCAGGCTCTCTCTACTCCACCATTTACCCAGAATCCTGTTTCACTGGCTCTTGTTACCATTTTTGGCTTAAAGACTATTTTATCTGATTTAACTATGGCTGATTTCTTCTGATTTCCACTTGCATGGAATTTCTTCTTCTATCACTTCACTTTTAACCGACATATATCTTTAGAGCTGAATGAGTCTTTTGTAAGCAGCAAATATTTGGGTTTTATTATGTACTCAGCCACTTGGTGCCTTCTGAATGGTGAATATAATCTATTCACATTTAGAGTGATTCTTGATAAGTGAGGACTTGCTATATTATTTTATTGTTTGCTTTCTGGTTGTCTTATATTTCCATTGTTTCTTTTGCCCTAGGTTTCTGCCTACCTTTGTAGATTGTTTTCCATGGAAGTATACTGTTGCCAATTTAAGCTTCTGTTTGTTCAGTGTTTCTTCGTGGAAACTAAGGCTTAGAGCTTCCAGGTCTGCCATTTTCACGCTTCATGCCACTAGTTTGTGTGTAATTTCATTTTTTAATTTATCAAGGAAATGCTTGAACATAAATTTAAGATAGAACACTATTACAAATACACTATTACAAATACATATGAGTCTCTTGCCCCATACCACCCCACTTCTGATCCTACTCCTCAGAGAGAGCCATTTGCAAGTATTCCAGATTTTATTTTTTTGAACATATATATCTAATATTTACTGTGACCATGTATCTAATAATGTGTTTATACACTAAGACATGTTTATACTTTATGCTGTTTCTTGCTGCTTGAGGTTACATATTCTCTGTTAACTTCTTACTGTGGAAGAAGAGAATTTAGCTTAGTTACATCTCAGCTCCCTTATATGATTCTGCTCTATGCATCCATTCTCCCAGAATAGCTATATTACTAGAATGTTTGGCCTCAAGGTTTAATTGTGGAGCTGTGTATTGATGCCCATCTCTCCATTCTCATGGAAGAGTGGGGCACTAAATCAGGACTGGAGCCCTGAGTGCCAGAAGCCCACGTGTCTGCTCTGTTCCATACTGCCTCCTTGCTGGGGACTGTAGGTCCCTGTGGTTGCCTGTGAGCTCTCACATTCTTGTGTTATGGAATCAAGGGTTTCCTTCAAAATTATCATAAATTAACAACTATCCCAGAGTAGATAGGTGGGTTGAAGACTCTTGTTTCCTATAAATTGTCTTTGGAGTGTCCTTTTCACTCAATGGGATAACAGAGGAGAGAAGTAATGGGGAGGAAAAGGGAAAGTGTTACTATCATTAGTAGGAATGGTGTTGTCTTGCACTTCAGTGTGGGTCTGAGAGAAAATCTCTATTTAAGTAGGTGGACAAAGTCTGCTGCTTTGCTACCCAGCAGCTGGCTGACTCAGGGTCACCCTGACCTGCCAAGTGCGATGGGTAGAGTGTGGGGTTTGCAGCCAGGGCTGGGTTCACATCCATGCTAGCTATTGAAATTGTGTCACATTCTATGACCTGTGGAATCCTGTTTTCTCATCTGAAAAGTGGGAATAATTGTACTATCATAGGGTTGTTCTGGAATCAGAAATCATGTATGTAAAGTGCCTGATAGATATGTACTCACTGGATAATCTTGATATTGGGGTCATCTGTCCTTAGTTTCCTCACTATTTGCTGACGGTTTTAGATGTAGCCTTGGAGGCAGAAGGAATGGTGGGGAGGAAGAGCGGAGAGCCATGACCCACCCCCGTGTTCAAGGGCTGGAAGAGGAGCAGAGAGCTGGGAATGGTGATTCCCAAGGGGAAATGGGGGACCAGGAGAGCCAGCATATCAGAATTTCGGGAGGCTTTACAGACCAATGCATCCTACCTCATTTCCTAACATTCCCATGTAGCATGATCAACCATCCGTGTTTGCCACCAAAAGCCCCTCATCTGAGAAGTCCTTCAGCCCCTACCACAGAAGTCTAACTGGTCAATTGCTGCCACTCACATTGACTAAAGTCACCACGAGGGTAACCCACTGATTTCACTCCAGGAGCTGTGGTGGCTTTAGCTATTTCAGGAGCTGGGGGCCCTCATGGAGGAGCTTGCTAAGGGCCTGCAGGAAGGCAGGGAAGGCAGAAACTATGCCAATATGATACATGCACCTCCGTCTCTGACTCATGTCTTCTTCTTTTTCAGATCACACAGTGTAAACAACTGGATGTTCACACAGAGCTTTGTGCAGGATTTGGTGAACAGATTTAAAAAGTATGGCTTTTCAGCTCTGTGTTGCAGGGCGTTTTCCTCTCTAACTGAGTACATTGGTATTTAGATGCAGTGTACATGGGACTGCCTCAGGTTGCAAAGCTCAGGGCAGTGTTCTGAAGCAGGAGAGAAGGACAGATCCCATTTGTTTTCTAAGATCTCTGCAGCCTTGCTTGGCTCCTTCCTGGGAGTCAGGCCTTGTTTTCAGGGGCACAGTCTTCCCTGGAGGACCTCATAGATTAGGAACTAGGCAAACTACTTAACACTGTAACTAAACATCTGGATGTGGAAATTTTATCTAGATCTTGAAGGATGAGAAATACAGGGTAACAAGAACCATGAAGGTCATTTGAGCAGTAAGAGGTCTGTTTGGCTGAACATGATTAACATGGGAAGGCTGGGCGATGAAGCGAGAGGTCAACTTGTGACCAAGGCAAAAGAGGCCAATAATGCCAGGAAGCAGGGCTTGGATTTCCTGCTGTGAGCCATAGGGAGCTCTGGATGATGCGTGATCAGAGACGCTGGTGGGACTCCAGAAAGGCAGGACTCCAGCTGTACTCCAGGCAGAGAAGTCTCATAATTGTGGGCAAGAGCCAGGACCAGTGGGGAGCTCATATAGGGACCTGTGGGAACAATGTAACTAAAGGATAATGAGGGCCAGGCGATCAGAAGAGAGGGGCCAGAAGGTGAAAAGGGAGAGGAGAATATGAATGGCTGATGAGGGAGGATAATTTCTTTGAGATGAGGGGGAGGGAGTTGGGGAAGATCGTCCAGGGAGGAGGAGAAGTGAAAGTACAAAGAATTTGTCAGGAGAGGAGAAGCCAGCTTGGGAGGGCCCTCATGGAAGAGCATGTAGCTGCCTATCTCCTTGTGCATGCAGCAGCCCTGTGTGCATGTGTGTGTGTGAGAGAGAGAGAGGCAGAGAGAGCAAACAGACTTTTGGGATTTGGGTCTACAGGGTGCTATGCCGCACTCTGACAAGAGGGCTGCACGCCTTCCAGGCCTCATAATCCTTCACTAAAGTGATGAGAACTTCTGGAGTCCAGGAAATGGACTCCACACTAAAAGAGACAGAATGGAGAACAGGGAACTTGGTGGGTACCCCCTCCCTGTCGCACATCAGCATCACTTTCCGCCTGTGTGTATAGTTGCTCACAAGCCCATGTTTCCTCCCAAGCCCCAAACAGCGTATGTCGTTCATTACCTACTCGACACACGGCCGCATCAACATGAAGCTGACCTCGAACAGGTAAGTGTTTCATTGATCCCCCAGAGCCGACCCAGCAATCAGGCCACAGGGAGGGCCAGGGAGCAGAGGGGGCCCCTGAGCCCACACTGAGGAACCCACTGGTGTGCAGGCACGGCTGCCCTGGACCCTCCCCTCACTGCCCTCCGTGACCTTCAGCCCTGGCCCCCTGGGCCCCACTGCACCTCTGCACTGGCACTGGCTGGATCCTGTGCTAGTAGACAGACTCCTCCCCTCAGAGCCCAGCCCTCCACCTGACCCAAGTCCTTCCCTCCGTGCTCTACCCTTTCCCTAGAACAGGCTGACTGTGAAGATTCCCTAATCAGGTGGAGCAGATGTGGGGGGCCTTTTAGGACAGAGCCCGGCACCTGCTGTTGTGTGTCACTTTCTGCCCTGGGCCGCTGGGGAAAGGGGGAGACAATCAGAACCAGGGAGGAAGGGATGGGTATCATCCAAGTGTGGGTGCTTCAGTGGAGGGGAGCATGTTCCCCCTGAGTCTGGTCAGGTGAGCCCAGGAGTGGGTCCTGGAGTGGGGCTGGAGGAAGGCACCGTGGGCCTGCATCCCAGGAGGGTCTAGGTGGGAGGTGGGAAATTACGGAGCTTCTGAGTAGCAGTGAGGTTAAAATTCTCATGGAAGAAAATGACTGGAACCCCCCTGAGGAGCACCAGACAGAGCCTGAGGACCCTGCACTGGAGGGTCCCAGGGCCTGTGGACAGGAGGGGCCAGGGTGAGCACGGTGACCTTGCCAAGCTCTGCCTTAAGTGTGCGAGTACAGTGTGCCCTCTCCAGGGCCCCCGGGGGGCGGTCGTGCTGCCAGTCACACTGTGATGGAATCGCAGTTGGGATCTCCCCGTACTCACCATGGACAGTCAGGGTGTATCCCTGGGTGAGGCCCCCAGTTCTGCACGGCTTAGACAGAGCTGAGCACAGAGAGGACCAGGCCATCCCTATGGGCCCTATGGGCCTAGAAAGCAGCGTCCCCTTGTCACCCTACTCACCCGATAGGGACTGGGAAGGTGGGAAGCAGGCCAGCCAATGCCAAAGGCACAGGACAGAGGGCCGGGGCAGGGCTCCTTGACTTGGCCGTCTCCCGTCCCGGCAGGGCTGCATGCAGTGCAGATGGACAAGGACAGCCTGGGGCTGGTTGTAATAGGCAACCCCTCATTCCATCTCCCACCTCCTCTTATTTTTTTTTTTCAGAGAACAAATAAGCAATTCTGTTATTGAATTGCTCAATGTACTACCTTCAGGAGCCATAAATATGCAGCACGGATTGGAAAAGGTACAGAATCTAGATTTCTGAGATGTGGCTCTGCTTTATCAAGTTCTCAGAGGGTCATCATTGGGTCATCTCACTGTCCCCCCCAACAATTTTCCTTCATTTTGTTGCAGGCCAATGAGCAGATCGAAAGAACACGTGCTGCAGGTAAGTGAGCTGCTTCCTGCCTTCTTGGCGATGGTGTCCGGGGAAAGAGCCAGGCCTGGGCCTCAGTGAGGTCGGTGCAGACCATCCCTGGCCGCATCCAAGCTCTGACTCGTGGAGCCAGCTGCGTGCCCTCTCTGAGCGGCAGCCTCCTGCTCCGAGCAGTGGGGATGAAAACCACCCCGTGATGTTCCGCAGCACAGCAAGGGGTCGCGTGTGCGACTTCATGGTTCCTAGGAAATGTGAGGCGCTGGCCCTGGAGCTGGGCTGCATGAAGAAGAAAGGGGGATACCCAGGGGGTCCTAGAGCGGTGGGGCTTCAGTGTGAGAAGGGAGCCTGACCTTCCCCCTTGCTGAGCACACATTCCTCCCTGACTCCTTCTCCCTTCAGCTCCTTCCCTTGGGCTGATGCTCCTGCTCTGTGTCTCCCATAATGTAAAAGACTGCGCCTGTCACAGAACATCTTCATCTTGGCTGTAGGGTCTAGGAAAGATGTGTGGCCCAGGGAGAGGCATTGAGCTGGGGAGGGGGTCTACTGCTCACCTGCCTCTGACCTCAAGCCCTGAGCCTGGGTCTACAGGTGCCCACGGGAGAGCTGTGGGTGAGGTCCAGAGCTGGAACAGGCCTGCATGGACCTGCGGGAGTCTTGCACAGTAGGTGTGCCCACTCCTGCTTTTGCTCATCTGGAAGGCTGATGCTTATCCTGTGAAATTGCTGGAGTTGCCTTTCAGGGCAAAGGTTGCACTGTCTGGTAGAAGTGACAGTTCTGCAGGAAGAGCCCTAAGCTGGGCTCAGTCTCCTCATCTGCAAATTGGGTCCTGGGCCAGGGGCACTTCTTGTTGCATGACAAGCTGCAAAGCCTTCCAGGCATTTGGGTGGCAGGTGCTCAGGTCTGGGTGGCCTCTCTCCAGGAGGGTGAGGTGTGGCAAGCAGTGCTCAGGTCCTGGAAGCCTGTGGCAGTTGCTCTCATTGACCCAGTCACTCCCTGCCTCTCCCACAGGAGCAGAGGTTCCCAGCCTCATCATCGTGCTGACAGGTGGAGAACTGCTGCCAGAATCCTTGGCAGAGACAAAAGTTGAAGTGAGTCAAGCCCATTGTTACCAGCCTTTTGGTCCACATATTTGGACCAAATTGATTATACCCACCACTTCCTCTTTCTCAGGCTGCAAAATCTAAGCAGTTGGGGGCAAGTCTTTTTTTTGTCGGAGTGCAAAATTACCAGAAATACCAGGTAATTCTGAGCAGGTAACGAGGGGTCACTTGTGAGCCTAGCTGGGGAAAGCTTCAAAGACGGCGCTCTCAGGGTCGCCCAGAGGATGGGCCTCTACCCACCAAAAAGTGCCTGGGGAATGGGGTTGGGCCCTCTCCACTTAGGCTGGGCCCAGGGAGTTGAAAGATGTGCAAGGTGGCCGTTCAGAATGAATAACAAGTGTTGTGTAAGACCTGCACAGCAGAGGTGAGGGTGGAAGAGCTTTCCCTCCCCTGAGGGCGGGCTGCTGGCGGATGCCAGGGTCTAGCCCCCGGTGTCTGTCTCCTGGGATGGGGACCTCTGGGTCATCACCCCTGGCTGTGGGCCCAGGCTGTCTCCTCTCCCTTTCAGCTCCTGGAAATTGCTGGCGAAGAGGATCATGTGTTTGGAGTGGACAGTGGATACCCTGGACTGGAAGACATCGTTGACCCAGTGAGTGAGGGGGGATGAAGGGGGCTGCACACCGTGCCCCCGCCGTTCACTCCCATGACCCTGCCACTCCTCTCTCTCTATTTCAGCTCATAGCAAGGTCTTGTGTGCAGATTACATCTGTGGATTTCTCCCCTATCTGCACTAGAGGTAATAACTGGAGTCGCTGTTGTAAACGCAGAAGTGTGTGTGTGTGTGTTTTGTGAATGTGCCATGTGTGTGGTGGGAGTGGTGTATGTGGTTCCAGTCTGTGCAGTGTGTTTGAGCGCACCATGTGTGTGTGTGGTGCGTGTGGTGTGAATGTGTATAATGTGCTGTGTGTACGTGAATGTGGTGTCTGTGGGGGGATTGTGGTTTGGAATGCGCATTGGGTCCATAGAACGTTTGTGTCAGGTACGTATGTAAGTCTGTGTGAGGTACGGGTGCCTGGGGTGTGCTGGGGGTGGGCATGTGATGGCATCTTTGCCCAGGTTTGTAACGGGCTCCCTATCACTTTAGAGCACACTGCACAATGGCTTGGTGACCGTACTGCAAAATGACTGCCACATAAGTTTAGTGTAATTACTTTCTTTAATCTCACAACCAAAAGATTAATTAGGAAATTTAAAAAACTGTTTTAAAAAACCTGAATGACACTACCAAATGGGACCCAACCACATATAACCAGGACAATACGTCAAACTATTTAGAAACCACCCCAGAAATCCAAGTCTGATTAGTATTTGAAATGTAATTTGAGTGGGTAAGGGACCTCCGGGATGATGGCTTCCATCTGAGCCAGCTGTTGGGGGCAGCTGTCTGACTCCCCATCTTCTGAACATGGGGGGGGAGCCAAGCAACTCCACACCTGGGGGCCTTCCCTGCTCCTCCTGGGTTAAGCGCTCAGCCATGCAGCCAGTTTGACATCTCATTTCTATAATTACCTCTGGTTTCTGCTCTGCCATAGGCCCCCAGAAAGACAGGGGTTGGGGGGGGAATAGAGAATTGACTCCAGGTTGCAGAAAGTCCCACAGGCCCCCAGGTGTGCGTGTGCAGCTCAGACGTGACCCAGGGCTGACTCACCAGGATGTCTTGGCTCCTCTCTCAATTATGTCAGGGTTGCCAGGTCCCTGCCTGCGCCCATTAGGGGGCACCTTGGTATTTCAGAGCAGAAACCCGTGGCTGGGTTTGCCCCTAGGGAGGGAACTAGGCGGGGTGCCTTTAATGGTTGGACTTCCTGGGTCATGGGAAGTGGGGAGGGGCCCCTGAGTGCTCTGGGCCCAGCCCAGGCTCCTGAGAGTGGCCCTCAGTGACCAAAAGGAGAGGATTTGGCCAGGGGGTTGCCCAGATGTGGGTTCAGCTACAGCTGCGTCCTCCCAAGAGTTCATGGGGATTCTGTTTTGGGGCGGCCTGTCATAGTTGTGGTCTGAGGAAAGTAACTCAGCCCTTCCTCACACAGACATTTGGATATTACTCTTGCAGATAAAAATGAAGTCAAGGTTATTGGGAAAGGTTTTCAAAACATAGACAAGGATGAGGTTATCTGTCAGTTTCGACTTAGAAAGGAAACCATACGTAAGTAGCCCCTCCTTTCCTCCAGGGACAGCTGTCCCACGGCAAACCAGGCCTTCAGAGCCCGTGCTGACCATTCGCTATGTACACACTAAAAACAAGCAACATGGACAGTGGAAGGGGTAACTGGTTGGGAGCCTGGGCACCTGCCACTCGTGCCCAGGACTTAATCGATCCCCAGCACCATCATACCCCTGGGAGCAGCCTCTCCTGCAGCCCTGGCTGGGTGTGGGGTGGGGTGTGCCCTAAGAGCTGCATCCCCCTCCCTTTCCTGGGCTCTCACTTCCCTTGAGAGGCAAGGACTCGAGTCCATTAGTCTGTGGGAGGGAAGTTGAGGCAGCCCCGGGGCTC